GGCCTTGCCGGCCGCGCCGGGGCTCTGCTTCTTGTGCGGCCCCGACGCGCTCTGCACGACGGCGGGCGGCGGCTCCTCCGTATTCTGCTTATGTTTTGCCTGAAGAGGATTTCTCAGCGGGGATTTTGGTATTTTTTTCAGGTGATTCTCAGCTACAATCTTTTTACGTTTCACACCTTTAAGTGATTCTGAAGTTCCTTTAATACCAGCCTCTAAGATTTCTGTTCAAAAAAGAAAAAGAAGAAACCAATTGGTAAAACGGTAATATACACTATGATTTTTAAAAAAATTAACATTACTGTCATCGAGGTGTTATGACAATTGAAGAAGGCAGTTTAAGGAAAGCCTGTTTTGGATAAAACTGCATTCTAACATTCTGGCAATCAAGGTCTACTGAAACACCCATGCAGGGGCCTCAGTGTACATTTCTAGAATGCTGTGTTCCTCTCTGGACGCCTGTCTCACCTAGACCCTGGAACCTGATCTTTCAAAACTAAATTATCCTCCCCTTCACCGCTGCAGCTGAGGACTGCACAGCAGCTGAGAGAGCCAGCCCACAAAAGAAAGAAATTCAGGCTTTTAATGCTGGGTATTTGTCTTATCACATTTAGTATGTTTTACAGCAAAATTTTTACCAAGTTTCTAAATAACAGTATTGCTCTAAAATATGCAATACAGACATTCTTCTGAGAACAAAGGCTCAATACACTGATTTTTAGAACATACCTCAGATGATCATGTGATATTCACTGGTAGACCCATGAAGAACTGCTAATGTAGCCATTATATCAATAGACAGAAAAATAATAAAGTGAAATAAGACACATACTTGTGGTTCTTCACCAACAAAATGTAAAAGTCATAATGTAATGGCCCTTCGTTACAAAAACCCCACCGTTTTAACTGAACACGATATTCAATGGCTATTTCTTTGTCTTTAGTGATAGATGGGCAGGTGGGTGGGTAGGTTAGGTGGGTCAGATGGAGCTTACTGCAGGAGAGAAGAGCTGAAACCACCTCCATTTCTCGCTGTGTTGAAATAAATCATCATTTAAATGGCATCAACCACCCACAATCTCTGTCAACTATTATATTTTTGAGCAATAATTGCTTGCCATAATTTAGTTTATTTCCATTTGTTGGATCCTTGGGCACATAAACAAAAATTACTCAAGCTTTTATTACTTACTTGTATAGAAGCCAAAATGCTAATTCCTAATTATTTTCAAATAGTTGTTCAAACATAAATATATATATATTTGAGATTCCTATTAGACCAAAATATCTACAACAAAATAACCACTTTGCATTAACTGAAGAATTAACACAAAATAAATTCTAGTCATATTGTGACATCAGTTTATGTGCTTTCATGCACAAATTTAATGAAAAAAAATACATACTAAAGATACATTTACCCACCATAGTCAAAAGGGCAGATAAAAAGGTGGGGGTCTCATAATGAAAACATTTGTGCTAAAGTAGAATAGAAAAAAAATCAGTATTGTTGATACCTTTACAAAATGATGTTGAGCAAATCGTTTTTATTCTTCAATCCACTCACTTATAAATGTTTCCCTACCGGTTTTCCCTCTTCAAGATGAATGCAATAAAATCAGTGATGTACTTTATGCCTCTCACCGACTATACCAAGCAAGCGGGCGAAATAAAAAATGATAAGCATCATCTCGGGCGAGTAGGTTCCCTACTCACTTCCCAGGAGCTTGGAGGTGGGTTGTAATAAAAGTGAGAGCCACTCGGCTATTGGAATGAATACAGAAACAGAGAAAAGAAACCACCTGGATGAACAGCAGTTCCAAGAGCTTTTTTTTTTAAAGCTGCCTGTGCCAAACCCCATCCATAACCTACGCAACCAGAGCCTCGGCTGTGGCAGGTATGTTTGTTTTACTTACTTTTTGGAATAAGATTTTATTTTTAAAGTTATTTGCAAACAAGAAAATTAAACAATATCTTGTTTAAATAAAACTCCAAAGGAAAAAATGCAAAAATTCACCCCATAGGCAAAACACTCAGAAATACCACATTTAAGTTTTAAAGGGATCATTCTATGTATGTTTTAAACAAAAAGAATACAGTTTAACCCTGTACTTAAAGAAAACGAAGCCGAAGTGAAATAAAGGAAATCACTACACTTAAGATCCCTATTTCTTTACAGAGATAATTCCTGAAAAGTTAAGAATTTGAAAAAAATACATTTTAAACATATTTTTGAACTACATGTTTCAATTTTAGATGAAGATTGACTCATTTCACTTTGACAGAAGTTTATAACATTTACATTCTATTGACATAGTTGTTTACTCTTAGTTCTGTTTGAATTTTAACACTTACTTGGTGCTAATACACAAGTTCTTTCCTACAAAACCCTGTACGTGCCTTTGCTTTCGGCAATCGTAGAGATTCTGTTCCTGCTGCCAGCCTGACTGGTAGTTTCCCCTCCTTGAGGTTAATGTGCCTTTTTTCTGCCTGCATGTCTGCAAAACCCTTTTCTTCCCCAAAGTCTGATAATATAACTAGTAGTCACTCCAGAGTTGACCACTATCAGCTTTTAATTTTTTTTTCCTGGAACACAATGACCTCTAAAAGGAGACTCATTTAGTTTATTTCAGAAACATTTTCTTTTATTGTATCTTCAAATACATTTTCTGGCTAATTGCTTCATGGGGGTGAGTTCCCCTACTTTACTGATATGAGTTATCTTATCTTTATTCAGGACCACACTTGCAGTGATGTAAATTGCTTCCATCTTTTTGTTTTTCTCTTTTGTTTTCTCTAGAATCATCTAAAGCTTTTCCCCATAGTATCAATAATTTGATTTTCAGGCCATTAAGTTCCTTGCTGTTTCAGATTTGTTTATAAGTTTTGGACTGCTGTTGTTTTGTTCTCATTTTGTTCCCTTAGTTCTGTATTTCCCATTTCATCTCATTTTATTGTCTCATATTATGTTTGAGCTCTTGCTTTAATAAATTTATGATCTTATTAAGTTCAATGCTTAAAAAATACTCATTTCTGAGGTAGTATTTCCTTTACGGCTGAGTTTTTGGTCTGTCTTTTCACGCTCTCTCTGCTTTTCTGTTGCCTGAGATCATAGGCAGTCACTGCGGCAGGTGGGTTGGGGTAGGCATTCAATGGAGAATATGTTCCTGTTTTTCTGAACTGTGTTCACTCTTCTAAGATTTTGTTGGATCTCCTTTAGCAGGGTTCACTCTCCTTGTTCAAGGGATAAAGTCCATTCCATTGTGGGTGGTTGAAAGGGAATGACCCTGGGTGTTGGATCAGTCTCTAAATATAAGGACTTTGTTGTTATTGTTCTTGCTCTTAGGAGGGAAGACAATGGTGGAGGGGATGAGAAATGTAAAAAGAGGGAGGGTACCAGGCACATATGAGGGGAATCTCACACTATCATTCTAGAGGTGGAATTAAAGCAAGCTGCATGTGGTTGTCACTCTCTATCCTTTGGTTCTCAGGATTTGTGGCTGGAGTACACAGAGTGGGTGGCCAGGAATTAGAAACAGAAGCCTCCTCTTGAGAATCAATGCCCTGGAGTGTGAGGTAGCAGGCCCTTGGGTCTCTGAGAACCATGCACTCGGGACAGTTTTTTCAACTCACATTAATCTTGATCAATTTCAAATCTGATCTTGATCAATTTCAAATCTATCTATGAGAGAGTGACTAGTTATTTACTCCTGCCCCCTTATCTATAAGAAAGAGCACAGTCATCAAACATTGAGGCTGTATCTACAACATCTGGTATTCAGTTACCACAGGCCATGGAGCTAAGAAGGTATATAGACCAGAATGCCTCAAAACAGAAATACAGTTTGGGGTGGAGGGCAGGAGCGGAGCAGCTGTTCACCATCAGCACTGATGCTTTTCAGTATCTGAAAAGGCAATTTGTTATTATGCTAGACTCAACTGAAAATAAATTAGAGGAAGCAGAAAGACAGACCTTGAGACAGTGGTAGAAGGCGCGCAAGGATGGTGCCTCTATAACACACTCACTCCCCTATAGACCAGGGTCTGCCTCAGAGCACGAACGCCTATTAGCATCGTAGGATCCCAGAGCTGCTGGTTTTTACCAACACTAGGGCTGGACAGACTTGGGGCACATAACCCCTTTCCTTATGTAGTGAGAACACACACTCAGCTTGGGAACGGGGAGGGAAAGGTTCACAGTCAAGGTCAACCAACTCTGCTGAAAACTCTGTTCTGGTCAGCATGCTACTGGAAATGGCTGAAAATCAGGCAGAAACTCTGAGGCACTGACAGGCCAGAAATCCAAATGGGAACTCATTTAACAGACACAAATCACATGAAGAAGAGGGACCAAAATTGGCAGGGTGGCCACTGTCAGAATCTCTGACTTGTTGGGCTTTATAAAGAGCCAGCTCTCCATCAGGTAGGCAGTCGAGAACAGGTTGGAAAGATCACAGAGGCCACTTGACTAAAGAAAGGTGAATGGTGAGGGAACCAGGAGCTGAAGTATGACAAAGGACACTTTGTTGAGGGCAGCGATGGTGAACCACAACCTGACAGTGTGTTGACGATCCTGCCTTGACTGAAGGTGAATCTCTTTGTCAGACCGACTCAGAGACACATCAATGTGAAAAACTTCAGATCTCTCTCAGGTCTTGGGGACACAAGGACTATCTGTTTTCTGACAACTGAGAGCACAGTGTGCAGAGAATCAAGAGACCAGAGGCAGGAGGACCACTTAGAAGGCCTTTCAGTGGTTCATGCAAGAGCTGAAATGCTACCCTGAACTCAGGGAGTGCCAGGGGGGCCCCTTAGCTGATTTAAAGGAAGAAAGCCTGAGAAAGGCTTGCGAAAGATGCTGCTGAGGTTTCTTGTCTTTATCTGGGAGGACTGAGCTAGTTTGGGAGGGGAAGAAAAAAATCAATTCACTTTCCATTCCACCAGACCTCAGAGTCAATCCCCATGGGCAGAAGTAACTGTAGCTGCAGATCCAGGATGAGAAATTTTCAACAGGGAAAACAGTGAGGTTAATGATGGCAGAGCCACTTAACGCAACATTATACATCCATTTAGAATAATTACAAAGATTACGCAGCAATGTGAAAATTATGATATATTAAATATACATGCACATTCTTTCCTTCCCTAAAGAGAAGAATGGGCTGGAGGCATAGATCTGGGAGCACGCAGTGAGAGCTGTTTTTATAAAAGTACAGAAATGATA